TTGCAAATGTACTAAGCCTTAGCAGAAATACGGTTGCTGATTTTAAGTTCAAGTTTATTTATTTCGGAATAATATTGTATCCTGTCTGCTTCGATTCATAGTCATGTTAAAAAAAATGTTTAGTTTTAGTCTGTTCAATAAATTTTTATCCTGTTCGGCCTGCGACCTAAAGTGTGCTTTGTCTTTTGGCCCCCTGTGCAGATGAGTTTGACACACCTGAGTTAAGTACTCAGTGCTGCCTTAAATCCATTAAGGATGTATGTAAATTAACACTAGAGACAGAATGTGGTTAGCTTAGCATAAACACAAAGCAGTGAGAAATGGCTAACTTGGTTCTCTCACAAGTTAAAACAACAAGCTCCAATTCAGCTGTCCCACACGTTTTCTTATGTTTCTAGAGTTAACTTTGGTCCAGACTGTCTCAGGAGGAACCCTTTGGGAATATACTTTTTAATATTCTTCTGGACTGAGGGAGCAAACACTCTGTGTCAGAGTTCAAGAATTAGCCTTAACATTTTCCACTTACCAAGTAGTAATCAGCTATAATATACAGGATGCTAATCCCCAGCAGCAGCTGTAAGTTATTCCAACATTAGCCTAGTTATCCTTACTAACTTGCTAATAAGTTAGTTTATTAGAAGAGCTAGATTTCCACAATTGACAGCATTGTGAAAAAAAACAGACAAAGAGAGGATGAATTGTTCACAGACAGTCCTCTTGGACATAAAAAAGTATTGTAATAAAAATGGGTGGCTGCCTAGATGCCTGAGTAGCCCACCCAAGTAGAGTCAATCTGTGGGAAACCCTGCAAAACTCGACACTGCCCAGCCAGGAAATAACTTCCATGCTAAGCTAAGCAAACTGCCTGCTGGCTCCATGTACAAACATGAGTGATCTCTTCATCTACCACTATTATATTCCTTCAATAGGAAAAATTCTTGCCACTACTTACCTCATAGTTGTTGTCCAGAGTGATGGTCTTGAAGTTCTTCAGTTTCCTCAGATCCCACAGTTTCAGAGAGCTATCCTGGGCACCTGAAGAAAGGCACAGACAAGAATGTCAGGGTATTTAAATCAAACAAATATAAAGCTCCAGATCCCTTTAGTGCAAAAAATAAGGGCTGAAAATGTCAGTTAGGTTTTATCATATTGTAGGTCAGTGTACATATTAATGTGATGTGTGCAACTTTTTTTATTCACAAATGTTTCTGCAACTTTTCAACCTAGTGTAGTACACATGTACATCAATGATTAACAACAACATTGCTAGTAGTTCTCTCACCTGTGGCCAGATAGTATCCGTTCTCAGAGAAAGCAATGGAGGTGACAGGACCAGAGTGGCCAGGGAAGTTGGCCACATTGGTGCGCTCCTTCAGATCCCAGATCTTGATTTGAGAGTCAGCCGTCCCAGTGCCAAAAATGAGACCATCAGGGTGGAACTGAGCACAGGTGAGAGCTGTAAGGATAGGCAGAAAGATTATCACCTAGAAGAGGGGGTCTCTTATTCAGACACAAGCTAACAGAGAGGCACTTACCGCAGCCAGCACTTTCATCAGTAACTTTGGTAAGGACTCTGCCAGTCTGGATATCAGAAAAGGCCCAGTACTGCAGAATAAAACAACAGAGAAGTTAGTGTGATAAACCAGTTTCACAGTGAAGAAATCCCAATACTTGAAATAAGGATGGGGTCTGTGGGCATTTTCTTCAAGCTGCACACACACCTGATCCTCAGAAGAGCTGAGCAGGTAGTCCCCAGTAGCATGTAGAGAGAGTCCAGTGACACCTGCCTCATGGGCACGCACAACCTGGACACAGTTGCCTCCAGTAACAGACCACACACGGATGGTGGTGTCTGGAGATGCAGAGAAGACCACAGACTAGAGAGGAAAACCAGCAAGGGAGGGAGGAGAAGGAAACAAAGCAAACAGTGGATGAGATGAAGAATCTGGTGCTCTTCATTTCAGTGAAATTGCACATGGTGTACTTATGAAAGAAGATTCTGACTGGGTGATGGTTGAAACAAAGGATGGAAAGGTTACCTGAGATGGATGGTAAATGACAGAGGTAACCTTCTTGGTGTGACCCTTAAGTGTTGCCACAATCTGCTCGTCCTTCTTATCAAACACCACCACGTTTTTATCAGCTCCACCTAAAAGAAGGGGAGGGAGAGTCAATATCAAATAAAAGATGAAGCATATGATGTCTAGCACGCCAATAAATCATGAAAAATGTATTCAGTGTACCCGTGAGCACTTTGTTGGTGTCTGAGGGACACAGATCCAAAGCCAGAATACCAGGAACACTGGCACTATGAAGACCCTGATGACAACAAAAAAAAAGAGCATGTTGACACAATGCACATCAGATCACTTGAAACTGTTGCAGCCTCTTGATGATGAACAGCCTGAAATCAGTACTTACAGCATGGGAAGCCACTTGGCGGTATTTACCGAGATCCTCTGCTCTGACCAGCTCCTCTGGCACAGTCTTTCCTCTCTGGAGAAATGTAATGAAGTTGTCATAAGGACCACAAATGCATATTACATAGTATCATAATGTTTATAAACATAAGGGAGAACAAGTGTTTACACAACAACGAGATTATACACCAGAATGGGCAAAATGTAGCTAAAAAAAAGAGCAAGGTAATACCTTCTTTCTCTCTGTGGTGAGGATAGTAGCTTTGTCTTGGAGCTGCAAACAGACATAAGGCATAGTGAACACACATCTGAGAACTGCTGAAGAAAATAAAAGAGAGTCAAATCATTTGTGGGTAAAAGAATAAAATCTTACCTTCTGGATGATCTCTGGGGTCATTCCCACCTGTTCACTAATCTCCATAGGCTCTCCACCTGCACCCTGAGGGCAGAAAGAGATGGTTAGGACAAATGTGACAAAAGACAATGAGCATTTCTAATCAGTATCCTATCAACTGGAATTAAAAGTCAATCACTCACTGCTGCAGCTGGCTGAGAGGCAGGAATTGCCTGAGGAGCAACCAATCCAGCTTGGGGCTTGAGTGTGGCGAGGGCTGTAAGAAGAAAATAGACCGCATAAGAAAAGCACAACCTTACAATATTATCTATGAGGTCATGTTGGTGTGGAGCCAGTTCAGTAGAGTATTGATGAGTGGTTAAAGGTCCTTCTAGGTGCTTTGTAAGCGGAACTATTCACTACAAAATCTGCTGTCAACTCACCTTCTCTCGCAGCAGTGACCTCTTTGGTGAGTCGAGCGATGACTCTGCAGGCGGCATCGTGTTGGTAGAGTGCATGTGACAGTTCTTGGCGAGTGGTCTGCAGCTGCTGCCGCAAGGTGAAGCTGTGGAGCATAACAGCATCCTAGAATGGAAAAGAGAAAACATGACGAGGGAATGTCATAGAATCTGAATAAAATTTATACTTTAAAAGACATGGAAGCAAAACAATTACATTCCTAATGTCCTGTAGGTGTGGTGGGAACACAACAATAAGTCAAGACAGGTTATGCATTGTGGTTAACTAAAGCAACTGCACATGCTGCTCCAACAAAGGTTTTAGTGTTATGAATACTAGTGGAAAATGGCATGGAAAATAAAAGGCAGACATTAATTGATCTTATAAAATTAACATTTCCCCCTTATGTAAAGCCATGTCTGTTAATTTGTTTGTAGGAAGATATAAAAAAAAACAAAAAACAAAAAAACACAACAACTAAATAACAAACTCTGGGAAACATTTACAATATGAATATGTTTTGCTGTGGATTTTCTCTTTGCCACCTCCTTAAGGTTAACAGTACTTACCCACTCATCTTGAAGGGACTTGAGAATGGCAGGGATGCTTGTGATGGTGCCTTTGGTCTAATAGGATGTGAGACTGGAAAAGAGAAAAGTGTCACATTCTCAGAACAAGTGGTCTCTCATCTTTGATAAAGTCAGTCTTGTTTACTCATGCTAATGTTCGAGATTCCAAAAACACCTGTTGCAATATCAGAAGGCAAGTTATAAAGTACTTTATTACAAAGGATTTGAACAAGGACATCTAACATTTGCCTAAACACACCAATAAACATCACTACAGCCGAAACTATTATTTAATTAAGCAATTGGCAAAAAAATGAACATGCAACTATCTTGATATTTACTTAACCATTTTCAAGAAAATATGCCAAACATTCCCAATTTCCAGCTATTTAACTGAGAGGATTTGCTGCTTTTCCTTGTCCTATGTTAAAACTGGATATTCTGGGGTTCAGAACAGTGGTTAAACAAAAAATTAAAATACATTTGGGCCTGTAATTACCACTTTTAAGTTTTTCTGATGTTTTATGGACAAACAAGTTATAAAAAAGTCATTCTTAGATCAATTAACAATGAAAACTAATTATTAACTAAGGAAATAAACATCACTCTCAATACTAATAAAAAGGGTTTCAAATAATTTCTTGTTTAAACTATTATTGATAATCGCTTTTACTTTGGAGGTGGTGGCTTGAGTTGTAGTTAAACTGCTCTGTTCAACTTATTTCTCTACCATCTATCCGCTCACCCCAAAGCAACACAATTTATATACTGTCCGAAAGCCTGCAAACTGAGCATTAAGATGAATCAATACCTCTATTTCAATAAAAAACGAATATTATAGCAATTATGAGGATTCATTTATAAAATTTAGTCGTCTTACCGAGGTGTAACTTAACCTAAAAACCGGGACTGAATATTTATACCCAGAGTTATATATTCCCAGTAGTTTTACCTTTGATATCTACGAGCTGCTCTTCAGACAAGGGTTGTCCGTTCATCGGGTCCGTCCCATTCTCTGCGATGTACTTCTCTATCAGCCTGCGTTCAAACACCTGGTTTGAGACCGGAGAGACACACGGGTGCTCCGGCACCTCACTGGAGACTGCAAAAGTGAGGTTACAGCTTGAAAACTAAACCACGCAAGACAAACAACAGAATAACACCAAACAGCTACGATTAACTGCTGCAAGTAGAAGGCGCACTGCATGGCCGCTAACGCTAGCTAAATTTGCTACTAGCATTAGCGACGTACCTAGCTAACCTAAACTGCCTCCGTCACATCAATTAATTCAACTTTACTTACTTGCACAAACCAAAGACATCTTCCCGACGCAGTCTTAAGAGTTTTTTCAACAAACCAAATTAGGCTTGACTGTGATTTGATAGTTATCTCCTCTAATGTACACTTATATTTTGCTTAAATTGGAGGTAGCACGCTGTCCTTTCATTGCCGCTACAAACTGGCTGCGTCTTCTTCTTCTACGTTCTGTTTCGAGGTCAGCGTCCAACAATCACAGATGCGCCACTGCCCTCTCGCGGATCTGATCTCTGATCAATGCAACAAAAACCAGTGCTGAAACATTAATTGTTTAAAGCATTTATCAAGCAGAATTACCAGTTGTTCTCAATTTTAAGCTTCTCAAATGTTAATAGGACATTAATTCTTCAGTAAATGTAACTTGAATATAGATTTTGGACTGTGTCATTTTGAGTTTTAGTATCTTGTGATAGCCATTTGTTATTTTTTCCACAATTTTTTTGGTAATGAAAATCATCTTTAGTTACAAGTAAATAAACAGTATACTATTAAAACTTATCTAAATTACATGTGTTAAAGATATATTTTATTGTTTCAGAGATGACATTTTGATATTGCAAAAATATCACAAACAATGAATGAATTAATGAATCACAAACAGCAGTCCAACCTTTTTTCTCACTAGAAAGATTTGGTGATATTATCCTGTACACAAAGTTCAAAGATTAATAGGCTATTGCTATGTATCTGGTGAAATGTTACATTTCATTTAATTATTACTACAGTTACCTTAAAAGGTTAATACACTAGCCTATGTGATTGCAAATTTCATTAAATTGCAGAACAGACATATAACATGATAATTAATTATTGTTGCAGTCAGGAATGATCAATGAGGTCAATGGAGAAAAACACTTCAGCTAACTCTATATTACTGTACAGTACTCATAAATTCCTTTTTGCAAACCTTTGAATCACAACTCTAATTACTACATAGCCCTAGAGGTTAGAGACACTACACACACAAACACACATGTACAGACACTCAGCAAATACAGTGCAGATCATATCAGTCCTGAGGATTTGGAGGTAGGTAACAGTAGGAGGCCATGAGCCAGTATCAACAAATGGGTAATTTGAGACAGGAAGGCTAATGCTCAATTCATGCATCAGAAAAGTTATATGAAGAAATTACATGCAATATTGATATAGAACCATAAAAACTAGGTTGGGATGCAAAAGGCACAAGGTCTTTCTCTTCACATCAGCTTCACTCCACCTGAGGATACACTTCTCATGTTTCCTCTTCCTTATATCAGCTCAGTACTCAGTGTTGTAAGAAGTTCAGTTTCTCTGATGTGTAAACACTGCAGGATTCAGAGGTGTCCGAGTCTAGCGGCAGTGTGGAAAAGTATTCTTGTGATTTTCTCAAACTTTCTTTATCTCCATCTTTACTGATCTGGAATTGAACACAGTCCACAGAGGAGTGGAGGCAATCTGAAGCCCCAGGCACAAAAAAGGAAATCTTTTTCTCCTCCTCATTAGATGTGTCAAGCTAGGAAGGAATAAAGATATACATGTTTAAAAAAAATATCTTAATCTCTGACATATAAATACAGCTGGACTGTAGTGCTATATTACCTCTGTGGCTAAAGTATGACCAGGGGAGCCTCCAGCTGCCAGTCTGTGTGCTTCCTGGTTCTCAGCTCTTGGTGTTCCTACTATCACCGGACTGTAACCCTATACGAACACCAGCACATATGCACACAGACACAATGTTATTTATTTTAAGCAAAGACACAAAAACTGCCAACTGATTTAATTCAGTTAATCAGCCTTACAGTATGAGTAGGACTGGCTCTCGGGGTCCATTTTCTTGGTGTTCCAAGCTGCTGAGAGTGACTGTAGTAGCCTGAGGGCTCAGGGCTGGGCTGGCTGTAGTTCTGTAAAAACACACACACACACATAGGCACTGTGATAAGAAAATCATAGAACCGAAAAGATAAACACAACAAAAACAATTGGCCTCATTTTTAAACACGTAGATTTCTTTATATTTTTTCATTTAGCTGCCCCTGCTCTGTGCACTCACCAGTGAAACTGAACTTCTGGACAACAGTTCACATGATGCTTTGACCATTGAAGACTGAATTTATGAATGAACCTACAACTATCAGCTGGCTGATAGTTATTTTTATTCATTAACCCATATTCATATAATTTAGTTAACTCTGTGCATGGGCTCAAGGCTGCTTAAATAAATAACATACCTGGGGAAGGAGAGAAACTATGAGCTAGTCGGTGGGAAACTGCATTTCTCCATGAAGGACTTTCACTAGATATTTCAACAGATTGCTGGTGTTTCTGCCCTTACATGCACAAGACTGGAAGCGAACCTAGAGAGCTTTGTGTTCACAGTGCACAGATTAAGTGAACCGCATCGCAAACTTGAAACAAACCGAACTGAGACTACCTCCCGAGGGGTTTTCAGCTTGGTTTGTTTCAGAGGGGTCTGAGTTTGTTTGGAGCGTTTACATTTATGCAGAAAATGCTGACTAATCGCTCTGAGTTTGTTATAAGAGCTGAAAGGGACCAAGTGTGAAAACACCCTAACCTGGGTGTCTCGTTGCACTGAGATCAGGTGATAGTGAAGGCCATAGCATATGATTCAAATCATTTTCATACTCATCAATCTATTCAGTGACTCCTCGTGCCCTATGGATGGGGTCACTGATATTGTGGAAGACACCACTCCCATCAGGATGATGTTTCATCTTAAGTTAAGGTGATCACTCAGAACAACTTTGTATTGATTTGCAGTGACCCTTCCCTCTAAGGAGACAAGTAGACCCACACTATACCAGTACCCACATCACACCAGAGCTACCTGTAGAGGTTAAGCATTCAGTTTTTCCACTGATCTGTCACCTGTCTGTATATTAAATATATATATATATAAACACATGGAGTAGTGATATAAGGGAAGAGATATAACAACATATGCACTAAAGAGTGGACAAAATGTACTGAACAACTTAATAAAGTATGTATGTCAGTAATGTAACTATGCCATGTATAGTATAAACAGAAATATATAGTAACATGTACAGTAATGCAGTTCTCCTGATTTCTTCACCTGGATGTTAACCCTTGGAGGGTTGGCTTGTGGCGTGCGGTTTGCTCTGAGGCCAGCGATGATCTGCGACAGGCTGCAGTTCGGGTAGCGCTTCATGAACAGGATAAAACCAGCCAGTGAAACAAACATGCCAGAGGGGACAGTGATGGACTTGAGGAGTGCTCGCCATCTGCCCCCCTTTTCTTCAGAGTAGAGACAAAGATGGGACAGATACAGTATCAGAAGACACAGTAACTCTCAGAATCAAAGAATTCAGACAAACAAAAACATGCAAACTCACACTGTCACTCACCGATCACCTGTAAGAAGGTAGAGGACACCAGGTTACCACTCCCATCTCTGATTTCATACACCCCGTCATGTTTTGATGTCAGTCTTGCTATGACAACCTCATTGATGGTACCATTCCTGCCCAGGGAGATAAGGCCTCTGTACCGCATGTCATGGTCTGTTATTTGGCCCTCGCGCATCAGCTGCACAGGGCCACGGGGGTGCTTGGGGTCAAAAGGGCCCAGGGAGGATTCATCATGGTGTCGGATGGGGGTAAAAATTAGATGGGCGTGAGGAATGGGAAGAAAGAGGGGCAGGTTTAGAGACTCCTTGGTGAAGCGGGTGACATTGAAGGAGTGCCCTGAATCCATATACCAGATCATAAAGAGGAGTGTAGAATGAAGGACATGTGTCAGATGGAAAAGAAAAGAAAACATAACCATTACTGTTGACAGGTTACTAGAGTTACAGAAATTCATCAGTCAGGTTCTTATAACTCTCATCCTCTCATGATTTTTTTCTGCTCACCACGGACAGTGAGAATGCTGCGAGACAGCACCTTCCCTTGAACATCTATCACAGTGTAGTTGCCTTGGTCGGCCTGTGTCACTTTCTCAGCCACCCAGACCTTCCCGCCTCGCAGCAGACGACCCCTCCCTGCTTCTCTGGTTTGAGGGTCTGTTCGGTTCCAAAGCACAACAGGCATGGCCTCAGGTGGAGCACCCCGGGGAGAAAACTCAAGTAGGAAACCATTTTCAGGAATATTGTGCTCAAAGCTCTCCCCATAGTGCCTGTGGTAAGACTTAATGCATTCTGAAGCAGGACAGAGAAATAAAGGATTAGCAAGGATGTTCAGCAGTAGAGATAGTAAGTCTACTCAAGTACTATGCTTAAATGCAAATCTGTAGTACTCGTATTTCAATTTTATGCTATTTTATACATCTACTTCACTACATTTCAAAAGTAAGTGCTGTACTTTTTACTCCACTACATTTATTTGATGGCCTTGTCTACCAGTTCCTTTTACATTAGGCCCAAAGTTGTAAAATTATCCATTATTTAAAAATAAAGCAAAGATCAGAGAAAAGTCCAAAAAAGTGAATATATATTTATGTTATCTCATCACCTATCAGATTTAGTTTGTGGCCCTAAGGATAAGAACTACTGGACTAAACTACCCGACTGTATTTAAAGTAGCTATAACTACCTCGACCTCAACTAGTGATTGAGAATTTGTGGCTATGGAGCATAAGAAAACCAGGGATGGATTTCGCAAAGGAGAATACCTGAAACAATCAGACGAACTGTCTCGTAGGTGAATCCAGAGGACAGTTTGATTGCATAAAGTCCTTGATCACTGTGAGTCGCCTCTTTCAGGACCAACATCTTATCTCTGGTCCACTCAAACCGCGGGTCCTTTACCTGCAGTTGTAAATAGGTTTAGGCAATCTGTACACAGAATAAACAAACACAAACATGAGCACAGGCACACTTCCACTCACTATGGTATTTTCCAGCAGGATGTGCTTTTGTCCCTCAGAGCTGGGTGTAAATGTCACCATTCTGGATGTTGAGTACACTGGCAAACGAAATTCTTTCCCAGCACACACCATCTGGATGTCTTCTCTTTCAGCTGTCCAAGTGGGAAAGAAAGTTAGTAACCTCTTCAGAGAACACTTTATAAAGGACATGTGATGAAATGTAGCTGTTGACTCACCTGGTATGACCCAACCTGTCAGATGGAGCAGAATGAATGTGATTAATATTAATGTCCTCTGGCACAATGCTTACATCTAATAGCCCTTTAAGTAATTATAGTACAACATTCTAGTATAGGCTACAAGAAAATTTGTAAAAAGCTTATGTTGTACAGCAATTAATGACTTTATTAATGGTTCGTTGTTTTCAGTAAGGTTTTAGAGCTTGACTTAGCACTGAGTCAGCCGTTGTATAGGTTGACCATGACCCTCTTCTGGCAGCTGACAGAGGTGTACAATACAATTTATTCTTTTAAATTCAAATGCAGCTTCTTATATAATTAATACACACTTAGACACTTGGGTAAGACTAATGATACCACATTAAATTTAATACACTTATGCCATACCAACAGAACTTCCTCTGTTGTTCTCAGGCTCATGTTTGTTTGTGGTGTTCCCCAAGGGTCAAATATTGGCTCAGTTTTATTTTCAACCTATACAGAGCAATTATGTTTTCCATCACTGTGCATTGTGCAGATGACATGCAGCTTTATCTTTTACTTCATTCTAATTACATTACCAGGATTGCTAATCTACATGACTGTGTCTCTGATACTGAATGTTGGGTTTCCAAACACTTCATTAAATAATTCAAGCTTGTACCTTCGTTCTGTTTGGAGCCCACAGTCTTTTTGATGGCAAGGTACGCAGCCTGGCAAAAGGAATTAAGCTGACATCAATACTGGTGTAAATTTTGATGCAGTTTTGATAAGCACATTATGAAGGTTCTCCAGTTATGTTTTTTCAAACCACATGAAAATTGCCAGGTTGTAAATATTTAGTTTTTTTTTCCTTGCCGCAATGCGCTTTAGTCTGGCATCAATCAAAGCTGCCACATATGAACATTTACTTTTAATCCTTGTTAAATTTAATAACAATAATAATAACTTTATTTGTATAGCACTTTACAGCTCATAAAAGGGCACAAAGTGCTTCACATACATATCCCAAACCACCGATGCCTACACAAAATTTATATAAAAATTTTGCATTGATTTTAGAATTGAAAGCACTATATTAAAATGATATCATAAATTTATTTACCCCTTGTGTGTTTGTGTGTCTCCTTAGATGAGTGAACAGAGTTCTGGTCTTGGACGGTGACAGTATATGATCAGTCGTTTGCATTTAGAGTCCACACACTAGGGACTGTGCTGCTCACTGAGATTAAACAGGCAACATCTGTAACGTCCTTCAAATCCCTTCTTAAAATCTATTTTTTAAAGAAAGATTCTATAGAAAAGAGCTGCACTAATAAGATATTACACCCAAGATATTATTACAGCTAATTTGGGTAAAACTGTTTGACCTCTGGCTTTCTGGAAAAGAACTGTATTATTGGATCATAATTCATTTATTATCAACTAATTTGCATTTAGCACTGAAGACATATGTTTATTAATGAGTTATACCTGCATTTACATTTGCACATGAAGTATTCACTTTGGCTGTGGGCTTGAAAGTGGGAAACCTGCAACTCTTTATTCAGAAACCACAAGTTATAACACATAAAATGGGATAAACATCAGCCACAGGGACTTTCACAGCCTGTCAACCCAATTGCTTTGTAGGAGTGGCTGAGTATTAAATCGTCAGTAAACGGTTCCCTAATTAAAAACCAAAGAGTGTCTTGTTAAAAAGTGGTACCAAAATTATATTCAAGGACTTACCCACAGCGAGAGAAATGGTAAAAAGGGTAGTGAGCAGAACACCGGAGGACATCTTCTCCTGTGAAGACAGACCAGATCATTTGCTCAGAGACGCAGACGCACGCGATTGTCATGCATCCCCACCATCCTCTGAAAACAAGCAGCCAGCCGGTGGTAATGTGATCACAATAAACAAGCTACAGCAGAGGGAGCCCAAAGACAACTGTGATGATGTCTCTCTGCAGAGCCATGCATACTACGCAGGCTACATCCAAAAACAATCAGCAGGCCTGCTCTCACAGACCGATATATAACGCCGCATCTGCGGTTTGAAATCTCGTCCACTCAGGTGTCCATCGTGCCTCCCAGCCGCTGAACGACGTGCACAGCGATGCAGCGGGCTATGAGGCCGTCACTTATTGATAATAAGTGACCGCACTTGTCTGTGGCGCATCTAGTGTGAACTCACCTGTAGGATGTGTGACATTCAAGTCCACAGCTGGATATTTATGAATGTTTATGTGAATGGAGATAAGATGGTAACAACGTCCTCTGCAGAGCGCGCATGAGCACAGGCCCGTTCTGTTAGTTCCACTGGGTCATATTCTCAGCCGCTCCTACGCAAAATCCGTCCTATGTTGTGTTATTTTGGTCTTGTTCCTGTGCGTAAATAAGCCATTAGCACAAGAGAGCGCATAGTTACACCGTAGGCCGCTCTTGATTGGCTGTGCCACAAGATTAAGTAAAATGTAGGCTCGTCAGGAACTTAAAAAACCACTAGGGCAGATGCTCACTAATAAAAGGTTTTGTACAAATAAAAACAGTGGCTATTTGTACTTTACCTGCTTGTGTATGCAGCCTTAAAGAATTAGCCACAAGTAGTGAACCACAAACTGAAGAGCAATATCTTTATTCGTCAAGCTATTGTTGTTACAAGCAGAAATAGTCCAGTACAACACCAACTATGACCTCAATAACAAACATATAATTGAATTTATACATTCATGACAATTTCATAGAAAACAGAAACATTTTGAGCTTCATAAACACACATATTAAGGCGGAAATGTTGCAGTGAATTGCATATGATTGTACAGGTGTACCTAATAAAGTGGCCAGTCGGTGTACATCACACGTAGCTGTCTATGTTAACGTTGGACTATTCATTCTGCATAGCCTGTAACATATTGTATCTGATGGTCTTCTCACACAGTCCAAATAATGTTTGTTTTATAGACGTTTAACAAACAAGGTGTGGAGAAAGATGCCTGTGCATTTGCACAATACAATCTCAAAGTAATTGGAGAATTGATGTTTTGTGGCTTTATGAGTTACAAAACACGATTAGATTGTTTTTTTATTCATGATTTGTTGATAGACAAATGGACTGCTTGACAGACAAATGAGTTATTATTGTGAAATGCAGAACAATACAAATAAATGTGCAATACAGGGCCAAACCATTACGCCATAAAAACATTTTGATAATGTTCTTAATGTATTTTGAAATAAATATTTTTATAGAGATTAATATCTCTACATTTTTACCTTTACCAGTCGATGTTTCAAAAAAAAAATAGTTGTGATTTGAATAATGAGGGGCCTGTGCCCCAGTAGAGCTTTATGTCTAGCAATGCCCCTGACATAATCAATATAAAAGTTCAAACAGTGGCAACATAATGAAATGCATGGCCAATACAAATAAAGAATTGCTATACTGTATTTAGCAGATTAAGACAGTATCTTAAAAGAACACCTTATGGCGCAAGTTATAACGCAAATTCTGTGTGAATGAAGCCTTCTCAGCCTTATGTCATGGACTAGTAACACAACACAGACAGATAAATTGCTTATCGTACCAATCACGGACTATCGTATAATTTCCGACAGGACGTAAACGCACCAGGAGTTCCTCCATGGAAACGCCCTGTTGACAACGATCCCTGCTGAAAACAGTGGTGCGGAATATGTACATTGCAAACGTATGGTCTTAATAATTTGCCTAAAGTGTTTGTAGAATATGTCGAAAAACAATTCTCGACTATTAATTAATAGCCTTAATATCGCGCGCTAAATTCTTCGCGACCCTGGATCTTTGCATTTTCACTTGCAGCAAATGATGATCGTGTTGTTGTTGTTGCTTGGTGCCTCTCTTTGTGTGGGTAAGTGTAAAATTAGTTTTAAAACGCCTTGAGCAAAACTGCTTGTGCAGTTTACGCCCTTTTCTGTGTCAGTCAGGAGTGAAAAGTATTTACTCCTATAAGATAGATATACTGTTATTTTGAGGTAATTGTACTGTACTGCTCCAACCAATTTCAGGGTAAATGTCCTCTTTTGATTTTACTACATTTATTTAACAGCCATGGTTAGATTTTCTATACAAAACAAATGATCAGCTAATAAAATATATGCATTATTATAGATGAAAAGCACTGAATACCGCCAGTGTTTTGAATTATGTGGCTGCAAACCTATGTATATGTTTATGTTTAACTTATGTAATGACAGTATATATTTGTAACCTGTGTAGCAACAAAACTAAAAGGAGAGCTCGAAGCCTAGTCTTTTAGACTATATCCTATAATATTTTTGTGTGTGTTGCACCTTATAAAATCGATTTTTGAAACTGGTTGCCTACACTTGCTAATAATAGTCTTTCATTCAAGCAGAATATTGAATGCAAGACTTTTACTTGTAGCAAGTTATTTTTGCATTGTGGTATTACTACTTAATCAAAACATTGGAAATTTCTTCCACTAAGAAGCATCTGTAGTTTATAATGTTGTGCATTATACATGGATAGCAGCATCCATTACAAGGTTATTCCAAGTTTATTACTTACAAAGAGAAATTTAAATTTAATGTTATGTTCAAATATAGATACATGCTAAAACGTTGTCTGGAAATCATACATTCATTGGGGTGTTTGTTTTTTTTTTTTTTTTACTTCCTCTCTAGGCAAGCCTAATGACAGTTATGATGTGGTGGAGTATGGGAGCGCACACAGGGTGTTTCTGCACCGAAGCACTCACTTCATTGAGTTCATACCTCAGTACAGGTCAGATGTGATAATGTTGTGGAATCGGGACAACCATTCAGCCAGTGCCGACAGTAGATGGAAGGTGATGGGTAACTACTATGTGATAAATAATATAACCCAGAGAGACAATGGCCGCTACATAATGAGAGACCAGGCTCAGCGCATGCTGTCTACAAAGACTATTGATGTAATAGGTGAGGATCCTCCTTCTTAGTTTTCAGCTTCCATAAGTTTCCATTCTTTTTATGGTTATTTGGCCTTATTGACTCTAAACTCATATGCATTATGGTCAAGATAACAAGAAGACTGCATTTAATTTAAATGCAGTAGGGAGCTTGGATTAACTGCTTCCACAGTCAAAAAACTTCAGGAAGCCTTTAGAAATCATAATTCTGTTCATCCATATGTTCACTTACTAATTGCCAACTGATGAACCAGCCTCTGTCTCAGCTTTTGGGCTAAAGTCATTATGGCTTACTCATTGGCTCCTGAGGTACATCATTCAGACAGGGATTTCTTCAGCTAAGGAACACAAGGCAATTGTGCAAGCGAGTCCACACAAGTTGGAAGGAGTGTATGTAGCCATATTTTGGAGAGAATATTACTGAAACATGCGAGTGTATGGATGAAACTAATCAGGATCCGCTGTAACTGATATGAATTTAATTGAATGGATTAACATTTAAGAAACATGGGAACATATTCATTTTCTTGCTAAGAGTGAGAAGAGATTGATACCACTCTCATGCCTGTATGATAAGTATGAAGATACAGAAGGTTGGTACTGTAGCTTATCTTACCACAAAGACTAGATACAGAGGGAAACAACTGGCCCATTCAAAGCTGACAGAATCTGCCTATGAGTGTTTTAAAGCCCACAAATGTTTTTGAATTCCTACTAAAACCAAAGTGTAAAAACAAAATATTGTTGCTTCATGGGGGGTATGTGCCTGTGCTTGCATTTAGATTTTTTTTTTTTTTTTACCTTTAGACAGGCTAAACAGGTTGTTTCAATTTCATTTCCAGTTTGTGTGCTAAGCTAAGTCTTATTAATCTTCTGATCTAACTCTCACCATTTACACCAAATGAGTGTTTGTTAGTCAAAAGATTCTGTGTGAAGAATATCCTTATTAATATCTGTTATGCAAATCCTCTCTTTCAGCAAGAAAAATGTTCTACGAACTGAGGCCTGGCCTACAACTCAACTTTACTTATGATCTGGAGCCGAGGTCCTGCAACATTTACTTCTTCCCAAAAAGTAACACTGGACTGAGGGGCTTGAAGCAAGAACTGGTTCGTCGTGGCAGGCTGCAGAAGGACATGAATCATGCTGAATGTGAAGGTTTCGATCTGTTAAAGCCGTGTGGGCTTGTAAATAAGGACGTCCAGATGGAATGCAGTGGGCACTTTGAGGTCAGAGATCAGAACGACGACAAGGCCGTAGAGGTGGAACTGCAAATGGAGTTCCATTCGAAGAGTAAGCAGACTGCGTTTTATAATGTGTTTTTGAATTACTACTGTGTCATAAAAAGACAAATTTGTAGCTTATTTTGTTTGTTTTAAGGTTTGACTTTATCCAGCATGCTTTCAAAAGGTTGTACAGTTTTCTCAACTCAGCAGAGACCTTTCAGTCTTAAAACCTAATGTCTAACACATACAGCAGTGTTTCCCACTTGCTCTTGGCTCTAACACATACTGTAGCCATTGACTATCATTTAAATCTATCATCTTTTGGTATATAATTGTTCTATAATTTCTAAAACATTATCATCACAAATTCCCACGTTCTATAGGACATACGACATCTATCTCCAACACAGTTTTACAGTGATACATTTCAGAGAAAAGTAGGAGATCCTCACATTTGAGAGGCTGGAAACGAAGCAGCAAATACTTGATATTCTTGGAAATTAGATAATGAATCAATTATTAAAACTATTGTTGATAAACGTTCTGCCTGTCAGCTAACAGATTAACTGCCTTGTTGTTTCAGCTGTTCATTATGATCCACTTTACCTTGGTGTTGGCATTGGTGCTGTCATACTTCTCATCTGTTGTTGCGTGACGCGTTGCTGCTGTAAGAAGAGCTTTTCTAAAAAGCAGACCGCCGCTCAGTCGTCCCTGCATCAACATGAGGTGAACGTGTTCTGTGACCTGACACTTTGTGCGTGTGTACAGTAGTGTCAAGTTAAACGTTCTGCTGCTGATATCATGTGTACCCACTGCTTTTCTGTCTAATTCAAATTGCAGTTTAACACAGATCCTGCTGGACAGAGGACACACCAACACAGTCAGCCCTATGGGGCACACTACCCCGCTCAGCCTTTTTATTCTCCGACTGGCCCGCTGGTTAGTGTGTGTTGCATCTCGTAGAGAGAACCTCTCCCACACATAGTGCTGACTGTTCTTTTCTGTCTTCACCACTAATATATTACATGCCTCTTCGCTCTGCAGATACACAGTCCTCCTGCTATGAATGTGCTGCCTGCTCATTCTGAGGTACGTCCTTCTGCCCGTATCAGTCAGAACATAGACACACTCACACATTTGACAATCAATAGTATTTTAGCCGAACATGTCCTTCACTTTCTTCAAAGAAAGCTACAGTTCCATATAACTCATAGTTATAGTATTTGTTGTAGCACTTTACATAACATTTCTCATAGAACACTTATTTCCTGACATTTACAAAAATATGTGAGTGCTCTACATCAAATGATACACTCTCTCCACAATACTGTATTTGAATGTCCTTGTAACTACTTATTTTGTTTCTCCAGTTTGAGTATCACATTTGCCATGATGTGGCCACTTAACACCCCCCCCCCCCCATTATTGTTATCACTCCATTTGGTTTTAAGTACTTTTGTCTTTATGTAACAGGAAAAGCTTGTCAAAAGTGATTAAAGTGATTTTTCTTCCAACTCTAAAACAAGTCCCTGTTTTTGTTTCACACCATTAGCACAAGCTTTCCTTCAACCTGTAAAGCGATCCATGAATTTCCTGTGCTAGCTCACTGAACAACACACAGAGCTGACTGCTGATAAAACAGTCTTACCATAAGGTCTGTTTGGTGGGTGTTCTGAGGAGCGTGAACATATCCAGATGTGGAAAGACTTTTCTGAGCACTTAAGACTTCTTGTCCATGTTGGCTCAAGATAGAAAGTTCACTTTACCATTTCTGCATTCAGCTATTCATACTGAGTAACCAATTGAATGCCATTTGATGTCATCCATCACAACAGCCTTGCCCTGTGCAGCTTACCAGGTTACAGTTTGTGTTGCCACCATGCCAGCAGGGTGTTGATTTAAATGGAAATTTCCACTAATCATCAGTGTTGGTGTTGGATTGCAAAGCTGGATATTTGACGGGCTGGAGGTACTGTGTGAAAAAACCCTTCTCTGTAAAATCCAGCACTACTACCTAGTGTTGAAAATGACTTGGAGCCACTTCTCTTTGAAACAGATATCAACAAAAAGTGAAAACTGTAATCTTCCCAAAGGTCATTTGTTCAAACTGGTCAGTCAATGTATATGGTTTGTTCAGTTAATATGGTGATTTCTTATATTAATTGTTATACTAATGACACAAAAATGATTTATGCATATGTATCAACATGCCTGTGTTAATCATTTAACATGAATATTCTCCATTTGGCACCTTGTTCAACAACAGCAGCAGCTACTGTCCTTATTTTTTACTTTAAATAGATTTACATCGACGTGAGAGCCTGATTGTGATACTCCGGTACTCACTGACAGATCAGTCTTTTTCCTTCCCAGGTATCAGCTCTAGCAGCAGAGCAGACAGATACTCCAACTGTCCTTCCCTACTCTGACGACGAGCCACGGTTTGAACTGAAGGGGATGACATCTTCTCTTCCACTCAGTTCAGACTTTATGTCCTGTGATGTTTATACCTCAGACAAACTAAACTTCCTCTGAAAGCTTTGGTTTTGAAAGTTTAACCTAAATTTGTAACCTCATTCATTATTTGTACATTTTAGGAAGTACGCTTATTCTCCAGTGACTTGGTGGAGTCTGCTGCATGGCAGCTGGTTCCACCACATAACACTGTCACATCAGATTGTTATGTTTACATTCAGATTTTTATTTTTAATAAAGATGGTTAGCACTGTCATCTCCCACCTAGAAGGTTCTGGCTTCAAACCCTTGCGTGGCTTTTCTCCGGCTTCCTCTCACAGTTCAGACATGCAGGTTAGGTTAAGTGGTGACTAAATGGCTCCTAGGTACTAATGTGAGAGGTTGTCTGTCTCTATGTGTACTCAGCCTAACATCAGCTGAGTACACATCCAGCAGAAAGATGTCAGCTCCTCACACATCTGTTCTTGCACATTGTGTGAATTCCACAATGTTGCATTGTGGTAAATTGTATTATAATTGATAAACAACTCAGGACAAAGTGAGGGCTGTATTTTAAATTAGCATCAGTCCCATTTGATGTAGTGGCATTATAAGATGAGCTCACATACCTGATCGCAGACAGAGGTGGAAAGTAACTAAGTACATTTACTCAGGTACATTTTTGAGGTATCTGTACTTTACTTGAGTATTTTCATTTTCTGCTACTTCATACTTCTTAACTATGTTTCAGATAAAAAGACTACTTTATACTCACTTTTACTTGTATTTTTACACTGTGGTTTTGCTACTTAAGTAAACAATAAGAGCACCTGTTCCACTGATCACAGGTTCAAATGCATGCATGTAGGTGAAAAACACCTTTCAATAAAAAGCATGTACTCTAATTAGTGTTATTTACAATAATCTCTTACCTCATGAGTCACATTTAAAGTCCACTTAATAACCTCTTCAGCCTCATTCAGTGAATGGCTTTCTAAGTCCTGCAGTTATGTCAGGAAGATGTAATTCAATCCAGCTGACTGTGACAAGGTTTTCAGGGAAATCACAAAAGCGGCTTTATCTCTGCAAGGTTCTCTGTATTTAAAAGTGGTAGACAAGGTCTCATAGTTGCTTGTACAGAATTAGAATAAACTGTTTACTCATGATGTAACATTTTCAGTTGTTCACACACACATTTTTAAGTTTTAGTCTTTGACAACTGAATTTATCAAGCACTAGATGCCTTTTCCTTGTGCATACCTTCAATAGAGAGCAGCATTAAAATACCTCTACACCTCTGCACTGCACTGATGTCAAATTGTGTCTTAGGTGTAGTACTTTGAAAAGTCTGACTCACCACAAACCTGCCAATATGTGTGATCTTTACAGATACAAACACACATAGGCAGTAAACTTGACTCTAACTGCAAGATGCTTATTTTTACTTGCGTGTGTTTTATCGGTCACTCTCATGTGCACTCAGAACACACTAGAATTGAAGTTATAGCTTTAATGTTTATTAATTAAGTAGATGTCATATGTTTGTCAATAGTTTCTTTTGTAATGTTTTGGAATGTATATCATAGTTTATGACAGTTGTGAAATATTGTGGAGTTGGTTTTTAAGCACCGACTCATTGTTTTGAGAACATATACAAAGTTTACATTACACTTCTAACCATGTGGCCATCTTGTGTTTGCATCTTAGTGTACTGTATATGGACATTGTGTTATGTGCAATAAAGCTAAAACCCCCTGGGGACTGGATTGTATTTGTTCCACTGTCTTCATGGCTTCGCTTACAACTTGCAGTACTTTACGTGTAGTGCATGCTACAAGCACCGCCCACTCCACGTCTCCACACAGCCAAGCTAAAATAAGACTGAGCCTTTGGTGCGTTGTAAAGAAAAACTTCAGCACTGAATCGTGCACCTCTTCCTCATCACATCACTCAGCAACAAATGCTTAATATTATGAAGTCTGAAATAATGAATAGCCCAAGTGGAATTCAAATCTGATCACTGGGATAGTTTTAATCACAATCTCTCGCCAATTTAAATGATTTTGCATATTCAAACCAACACTGGATAACGCTATACAGCACACATGCTGTTATTGTAGCTGTGGAGATCATGAAGTAAAAGCAGCAGTTCTCCACAGATACAGAACAGCATGCGTGTCGGTAAATAATTTAAACTTTCAGCCACATAATTTTGGGTTTGCAATAATAACATGCATACCACTAAAAAATCCCCCCCCAAACATGTTTGTATATGTGAAAATCACAATAAGTTGTGTGTGTTTTTTTTCCCACCACCTAGGGGACGTGTAAACAAGTGGTGAATACAACACTAACATTCAATAGTATCACCTTTTATATTTATGGCAAATTCAGCAAACAGCTGCTTGTTTAAATACTCAAAAAATGTTTTTTATGGCTTTTTTAATAGACCTAAACACATCCACAAGGCTGAGAGGAGCTGCAGAGCTGGGAGATACTGTAATTCTGCGTATCGTCAGCACAACCTACACCTTTCACACTACACATGGTCATTTGGTAAATTGACATTAGAAAAACATTGATCACAGCAGTGAAACATGAAACAGTTTCTGTTGACTCATATCTGGCCCACTTCACTCTCCACCACAGCAACACGTAGGAGGGAAGTGAGCTCTGCTGCTGCAGGGTGAGCAAGCAGGAACAATAAATGTATCACTGAGGTCATTCCACTTAGGGTCAGTGGCAGTGGGGGTGCACCTGAAGGATCACAAAATCTTGCTTTTGCAGCCTTAAAATGCCTTTGTATGTCAGCTATTTATGATATATTCCATGTAGTTGGATTATTTTGGTATCTTCTGAAGGCAAACAAAAAGAGCAATTTTGTTTAAAAACCCGAGAGATTACTTTATTTCCCATAATAACAGATACATACAGAAACCATACATGATGACTATTTTCCTAACTGTTATTACCATTGCCTTTGTCTGCCTTACTCCTTTCCCCTGCATTGTCACTACTGTGCTTTCCTCTTCTCTACTACCTTGAGCCGGCTCTCCAGGGAGCTCAGCCGGCGCTCCACTGCACCAGACTTTTCAGAGGCAGAAGTAAACAGAGTCAACAGGACACATACCAGCACCAGGCCAGCAAGTCGAAACGCTGTGGTGTCTGCAGTGGCGGTCTTGTCAGTTACTATCAGTCCAAAAACCCAGAGTACCAAGACGGCTTTTACAACCCAGAACACCATCCTCATCACCCCGATCAGCAGACGGAGGATGATGCTCAGTACCCAGTAGCCAATGAGAGCCACCAGACCCCACTGGGCAACAGTAGTCACACCCTCCGGGGTGAAGCGGGGCAGCGTCAGTGCAGCTGTGGGAAACCCAGGTTAGGCATATTGTTAGAAGGAATAAATCTTAAAAACACTTTTCTGTTTCACAGGAAGAAGCAGGAATAAACAAAGGAGTGGCAGACAAAGTGCCCCGAGGGAGAGGCAAGACTGCATATTTTCACATGCACTTAAGTCACGACTGGCAGTGAGGTACACGTACAGGGAAGAAAAAGTAAAGCATGCAGCAAAGCCTAAACACACACACAGGGGCTATGCAGCTACCCACCATCAAATCCTGTGACCCTGAGGATCTCTGTGATGTAAACGGCGATGACATTCAGGCCGCTAGCAGCTCCTTCAGCGAGGAATCGGATCGCCGTCTCCAAAAACTGTGGCAGCATGGAGCAAGGGTGGAGACATGATTTACTTTGTTATAAAACATGGTAACAGTGAAACAGGATGCTGATCACATTAGTAAACATGCACAGAAGAAACATGGCTCCGATGCTCAGGTAGACAGTATAATTTGTAATGCAGCAGAACTAATATTTAAAGCTTTGGGTACAAACTTAATAACTTCATTAAAATTAAATTAAACTGCTGATCTGCCCTCGAACAAACAGCTGTGTATGCCACTGATAGCTAGACAGTGCCCCCCACATCTATTCCTGTATAGCCTCTATTCATCACACACATACAGATACACTGTGCAGCCTCCTCTAGCAAGGTCAAGGGTAGCCCAGGAGGTTGGTCATGTATCTTATCTACACCTGTTGTGCTACACAGTGGCAGAGTGGCCAGTGTATCAGGTGTGAATGTAGCTCATAAAGGCATTAAACAGCATATAAAATGTTGAGGTCTTTAACAGCTCCTACACTGCATAGTGTCTCTCTGTGGGCTTCCAAACATACACTATGTTTATTTTACTTCATCCTTCAAAGGCATACGTTGGACAAAAGACTGTCAAACTGCACTGGTGTCTCCTAGTAAATGCAACAGTCCAACAATTATCAGGCAATTCCTGACGATGTCAAAAAATGTTGCTCTGTCACATTAAATTTAATTAGAACTTTCAGTGCAGTGTACAGATTTTTTTTGTCCACTTCTCACCTTGAGGGTTCAGTTTCACTAAATGACTTTTCCCCTTTTACTCTGGGGAAACAACCATACAGAGGGAATTCACCCTTTCTTTCTTTCTGAGTGAGGCTCGATTTCAGTTTGGGACTCATGAAATGCCATTTTCACATGTATATTTTGCATTCAGACATACCCAGTCATGAACTATTTCTATCAGCTAGCCAGGGCTTAGACAGAATCTTATCGTTGCAAGCTCACAAGTAGGACTGCGGCCTCACATGCAAAACTCAGTGTACAGAAACATACATTGGGCCACAGTTTCACTTCATGCTCTTGCTCTCTGCACTAACTATAAGTTGACATGAGCTAAACAGAGTCACATGAGAGGACTCTGTTTAAAGGACCATGTCAGGGCAGGCTAGATGGAGACACCTGGGAGGTTTCTTACCATGGCCACTGTATAGACGTTCTCCTGACCAAGCAATGACTCAAGAAATAACACTGAGCGCTGAGGGAAAGGGCGCCACAGCAGCAGCAGCAGGAAAGCAGAATAACGTGTGAGTAAAGGGTATGCATGAGTAAAAAAAGACATGGAAAACATAAGGGGATCAGGGGGCAGATTAACAAGTTGAGGAGCATTTTGGGGGGTGAAGGGTGGTGGATAGAGAGATGGGAGGGTTGGAGTTGAAAATTAGTGAACAGGTATAGTTAAGCATTGATCAAGAACAGTATCAGAGCAGTGAAGTTGTATCATAGTACATTAACAGTGAGTATAAAGCCACTTCCTGCTACAGGAAGGTGCTGCGTCTTCTCCGTGTACCTCGGCAGCTGACCGTATCACACCGGTTCCCAGCAGCACCTCCGCGTATCGCTGGACCTCCTGGCAGGTTCCTGTGATCAGCGTATGAAAGGTGACCACCGAGGAGCTCTCCCCGCTCTGCTTGGCCTGCCCAGCTTCGGCTCCAGCCAACCCGAGCACCAACACATAGATGGTGAGGAAAAACCGCGCCATGGCACATTCGCCGCGCCCAGAGCCAGACGCACAAGAAAAAAATCCCTTGTGGAAACAATATGGGGAAGTGTACAAAAAATATGCACAGCTTACCGCTGCAGCCCAGAGCAGGTTGAACCGCTTGTGTACAGTGACAGACTGGCCTGTAAATCAGACTTAAAAATGGCTCCTGGTAGGAGCAGTCATAGGCTACAGTGCGTTTTTAAATCAACATGCTGCAGTTTACAGTGGGGATACAGATATGAGGAGCCGCGGCAGCTTCTGTACAGTATTAATAAACTGAATCAAGTGTAGGAGTAAGAAACTGGACAAAACTCGTAGGTAAAAAGGCCCCAATGACTAAAAACCATTAAGTATAATTGTAAACTTTGGCAGTGCTACAAATATCCAACCCGGGACTGTTCCTTCCGTCAAGGACTCTCTCGCAATAACACTTGCTATATTTGGTAAGAACCCTCAAAGGCTCATTTCTGGAATTTTGTCCAAATATCTCATCAGTCACGATGCAGCGGAAGGTTGTTAATAAAAAGTACAGTGCAGAAACGTTTTCCAAAGTTGTTCTGGTGCAGTTTTACGCATAAAAGCAAACGGTAGAAACGCGGTCACGCCGACCTGACCACGAGTCTCCTAAAGCTTCTTATTTCAGCTCTCAGCCCCCACAACGCTCAGGTTTTGTATTTCTTTACCTCTGAACTTGCTTCAAATTCGCTGCTGCGATAGATTATGTTGCAAAGCCTTAAAAAACCCCGTCGCTGCTCCGGCACGACACTCCCTTCCCCCCACCGTTTCTAACGCCTGTCTCCAAATGCGCTCGAATCTTCAGAGGGAGGAGCAGGAGGGATGGGGGAGGTAGTCTGCACATGGAAAAACAGAGATTTGCACACTGGGAGTTGTGGTTTAATATTCCCTGTCAAATGTTCTCATTACTCACAGGGTCTGACAAGACGTTTAGGACTGAACAGCAAGTGAAATGGACGCAGAAGCTGTGCATTTTGATTTCAGTTTAATGACTAGCAGTTACACAGTATCAAGTTAGGGCATGGAACAAGAAGAAGCTAATTTAAAACAAAAAAAATAAAATAAAATGATGACATACAGTATATACATAAACCTGACACTAAATCCACTACAGTGGGAGGAATGTTGTTTTCTCACTGTACTGATCATTTTCTTTGTAAACCTACTTGTGTAACTGCCTGTTTTCAAATGCATTCTCTCTCTCTCTCTCTCTCTCTCTCTCTCTCACACACACACACACACACACACACACAGAATGTCATTTCTCTAAAACCTTCCTGCACCAGTATCTGGGGAAAAAGAAAATGCAAGTCTTTCAGCTCCGAGCATCACTGTGGCACTACAAGGCTGGAATCATTTCACACTGACAGTATCCTGTATATACACGAGGACGAGCACAGTGGTGAGTCTTGCTCAGTGCAGTGTTTGTCCTACTGCTTCACTTGTTAACCCTTTTTCCGCCAAAGTATCTGTGCGGGCACTGCAGCTTTAGCCGATGTAAATGCGATGGAAGTCATTTGCTCCGAAAGCAGCATTGCACTTGGGGCACTTCCTCTGGCGAGTGTCATAACGCGTCTTGACGCACTCGAAGCAGAAAACGTGGAAACACTTAGTCAGCACAGCATCCTTCACCCGGGAGTTGCAGCACGGACATGTTAGACGTGCCTGGGGGAACGAGAGAGAGAGGGAGGGAGGAGAGAGAGGGAGGGAATGGTTTGAACAATAAATGGAGAAGCCATTTTTGTTCTCAGCGGAGTGGTTCATGATGTGTGGGCACACATACAGTATCTAGGTCAGCAGTGAGTTTGTCATTATAGAGACTGGCCTTCAGGCTCAACTACCCTTAACATGGCACATTACAAAAAGGCTGATTATAAACCCTGATGTGGCCGTGGTCCTGCAGTGTGAGCTACAGAAACCTAGGTCAGGTCTCATCTGCTGCAAACCAGGAAGATAAAGTTAAATCTGGTTCATTTAGTTAAACTGCATGCCTATAGGACAAACAAAGCCTGAACCCTAACTGTGTGATGTCTGTCAGATATAACAATATAACTGAAGCATTCATAACAAGTAACACGAGGAAATAGCTAACTCTGAGGCTGAAGTCAGACTGTGGTTTATTCCAAGCATGAGGAACTGCAGGTTGTCCAAAAAAAAAAAAAAAAAAAGAAAAAGGGATAATATCGTCACTCACTGCTTTATGATAAATATCAAGCTGCAACCAGTTAGCTTAGTTTAGCACAAAGGCTATAAACAGAAGAAACACTGTTAATAATTTCCTGGAGTCTCTGCTATCTGCCTTGCAATTGCTTAGAGTCAAGAAACAACCAGGCGTATAGCCCTAAAAACAAACATGTCATTTATAAAAACGATAGGTTTCTGCGGTGCAGGTAGCCAGATTTTGTTCACGTTGGACAGAGCCAGGTTAGTGGTTTGTTGTCACAAACACCTACCTTGTAGTCATTAATTTCTTCATTTAGGATCTCATCTCCATTGCTGATTTTCTCAGCAGGTTTCTTGGCCTTCTCAATCTTTCTCCTTAGTTTAGAGATGTCCTCCTGTAACACAGAGTCAGCAGCTGTCAGCAGAAGGACCTATTTTATTTATATTTGACATCAAACTTATGAAAAACACAGGAACTCCAGCTGTTTTCTACCATCATGTGAACAGGGTTAACGTCACAGTGAAAATGTTAGCAGAACTTTTTCACCAGTGAGGAGGAAACAAAGGACTTTAATCCACAAATCCAGTTTGTTATTAGAAAACATGCTGTATATTTGAAGGAGGAGCCACCATAAGTAGTGTTTCCTGTGTTAGGCCATGTTCAGACTGAGTTTCAAAGGATGATCGGGACATAGACGCCCACAGGAATAGGACTCCTTTGTTTACCCTTGTTATCATGACCATTCACTGCACTGTCAAATTTGGCCCACAGTTAACGCACCATAAAGAAACCGCATGCGTTTTCATTATTACTGGACGTTGAACAGTGGTTTTTTTTTTTTTTTTTTATATGTATCAATGCCGACACATTGGCGGCAGAATTGGTGCTAATGTAGAACAGGCTATGTTAGCTGCATGGCTAAGCAAAACAAAACAGAAACTCCTGGGCTGGAAATGTGAATGAAGCCATGCTGACTCGTCACAACGTGGCCGTATTTTACGTGCCTACAACAATCCCCCCCCAACCCCCTGATCGACACAGCCCCTTGTGTTAAACACAGCAGGGAGTTGTGTTTTTACCAGATCAGTCTGAACGCCCTTTTTTCTCTTCCTCAACATAGACCAGTATGTTCTTAATTCCTCAAAAGTAGCCTCAGTGGATGGAACTGTGTTTGTGTGTTTTGTGTTGACCTTGTAAGTATATGCAGTTATGAAAAATGAGTTGTTGTGTGTGTGTGTACATAATTTCTTGCGTGCTGTTACCTGTGCTCGCCTTGCGTTGAAGGACTCTTTCTCCCTGGAGATGCTGTTCTCTATGACCTCCTCTCTGACCAAGCTGAGCCTCTGCTGAAC